GTCAGCGACCTTCTCCGAAACCCAATGACGATCTCCGAAAGTCAACGAACGGTGTTCTCGGAAAAGAAACTTCCTCGCGCGACACGAAGCTACGGTACTGCTCGCTGTACATCTCACTTGTAATCCTCGTTCTTTATGAACTCGATGATGATCTCCTTCTCCGGCTGTATCTGCAGCATCTTGAGCACCAGGCAGAGGAACTTCGTGGGCTGCTGGTTCCCCCCGAAGGTCCCTCCCAGGTGTGTGAGCATCATGGCCTTGTCTACCAGCGTTTCCGCGGTAAGACCGAAGCAGTGCTCCTTCCAGTACCTTCGCCAACCCATCGATAGACAATATATTTCCCAACATGAAATACGTACAGCAGCAGAGGTAGAGGTGACCACATAGAGGTTCAAACAACACAAGCGGGGAGAAATCACGGAGCAGCGCCAACGGAGATGGTGTAGTGAAAGTTTTGGAGGTGCAAAGGTGACTGCGCCAGTGTTCTGTTTTCATGCCGCGATGTGAGGCCGTACTGCAGAGTGGTACTCTCTCTAAACAGCTAAGTAGTGCCCGGTGGTCCATCACGACTTGTGAGGAAGTCCAAAGAACGGTTCGGAGAGTGGCGGAAACAGGAACGGCGAGAAAAAGGAGATGAGCACGAAACAGAAAACGCATGCTCTTACTGAAAATTCGGTGGCGGGAATGTTAACCTTCGATGTGGAAAATTACACGCAACGCTTGCGGGCTCCGTTGTGTCTCCTGTTGCAACATCATGAAAGCACGATTTGACCGCCATATCCAGTTGCCACCCCTTACCCGTTGTGCTATTAATAAGGCAAAGAAATGAATATCCGTGGTTGCAACGCTTGAAAAGGAGAGGAGGGTCCAACAAAGACAACGTCGACGACAAAACAAAGGGATCTTTTGTGGTGCTGCTGACATCACGACCCAAACCAAAACACAAAATGCGGCACGAACGAACAACCCACGACCCTTCGAGGCTGTTGCTTCGCTAGAACAGCATTGTAGCATTCCATCCCAGAGGAGGGGGAGATTAAGGTTGACATATCCCACGCCGAAGTCTACTCTACAGCAGGAGTGGATTTAAAAACGTCCCATCCCTTCGCGCGGCTGCCCTTACAGGTTGTTGTAGATCTTCTGCCTTGTGATCTTCTCGATCAAGTTCTGAGGGTTTGTGCCATGCACCGTGCGTGCCAGGGGATCTGACAACACGTAACACGAATGGATAGGATCAACCATCGACGAGGAAGGACACGGGGGTAGACAGAGGCAGGTAGGGTCAGCAAGATTCACGAGGGAACGGGCATGAAAGGAAGCGCGGGATGCTGCGGTGCAACGAAACCAACACCCTGGTCAAGCAAGGGCGGGATAGTCGACGGCACAGCAGTGAACCAAACCTCGTCTTTTGGAAAGTGGCTGGGATATATACAGGTGCTTCCCAGGACAAGGGAAGGCGTGGGTTAGGTACTCCACGGCAGTTATACTGCTGCTGCATTTTGTGGCTGCTCGCGAAGCAGCCGTTCTGTAAGGAGGTTTGTGCGCCTTCCCCATGCCGCATTCACAAACTGCTGCCGCCTCCGCCGCCATCCAGCGCAGCCGCAGCCACTACGTGTGTGTTGTGTGTTGACACGTTGCTTTCCCCTGAAACTAGGAGAGGGGAGGATTTCCCTGACACCCGCGCCACACGGGCTCACACATCTAGTGTACACTTTGGATTGTAGAAGGCATCTTCGCTAGACGGAGAAAAAAGAACTCCTACAAGTAGTAAAGAGGAAGAGTCCCACAACTTACCGGGAGACAGACACAAGTTAAACAAAAGTATGGGCCTGTTGTGATAGAAGGTTAAGGTTTGTTTGTCGCCAAGACACTGATTGGCATGTACGAAAAGAGGCACGACGCCCTTACCGGTAGCGTTCGCCATGTTTGTTTCTCCTTGTTTTTCCTCTTTCTATTCCACAGCTGCGGCGCTGTCGTGTGCCCCCCAGATCTTGCACCTGAGTCGGGTGACCGATGGGGAAAAAGGGGGTAAACCGAGTGTTAGTAGAGCCATACGAGCGTGAATTCCCTCCTCTCATCGAGTGCTTTTCGAAAACGTGTCGTTTGTTTAATGCGTCTACAACCTCCTCGTCGCGGAGTACAGCTGTGTACCCATCCGTTGGAAATCGGTCCAGCAGGGGGTATGATATCTTACGTCACCAACGGTGTTTTCACTCCCCCTTCGTTCGATGCGCCGTGCCTTGTCGCATCTCTTGTCGCTTGCACCGCTATACGATTCAAGCGTACATGCAAGCATGCCTGTCAGCGACCCTGTAAAGCTGTTTGCAAATGTTGCAACTTTATTGCTCCTCTTGCTCTGTCTGCCTTGGCGGCGGCAGCTGTTGTGAGGGTGAGAATGGGTGCGGCGAGATGACCCAGCAGGACCGATCGAGATTTGGAGCGTGTTGTATCGTAAACAAACTTGTCGGTCACTGAGAGGATCTACGCTTACCAACGCTGGGATCTTGACGTGTCGATGACTACATTAGTTTTTGTGCGTGGTGTAGGCAGCCGTGCTTGCTATGTATGGCTTGCAACAGCAGTGGATCTGCTGTGCGTGAACGACTCTCCTGCTGGCACCGCTGCTTGCCCCCACCCCCACATACTGGGTACTGCTGTGGTGGATATACACAACGATAGTCGCTGCAACGCACTACAGCCACGTCAAGCAGTATGTAGTCAAGCATAGCTGGCCTAAGAAAGCTGGAGTCAAAGAGAGTGGTGTGCCAACATACATAGCACCAGGTGTATGGTACATACATCTCAGAGAGCTGAGCGGGAAGGTATGCATAGGTTGTCAAAACCAAGCAAAGGGCGGGATCAGCGCTTTGTTCACGATGCTGCAAAACAAGAGACCGTCGTTCAAAGACCCACACAATCAGCATTCACCTGGAGGTCCGGTTGGCTAGCTAACCCTGTTGAGCGTTGAAGCACTGCACTGGACAGCGGCAGGCGGCGGTGGGAGGCGGGATCAGACGAGCAGACGAGCAGACACGAGTGGCACCCCAGACAGGTTTTGATGGGTACCCCTTGTTTTCAGGGGCTCCATCACAGCGTCAACAGTCAAGCACATCCACAACAGCATCCCAGACCATGATCCATCCATCACAGTCGATAACCAAGCTAGCAACAACCAGGCAGCAGCAGCGCCGACAGAGAGGGGAGACCGTGATATGTTGCAGAACGCACGGTATTCGGTCATGCGTCGGGGTGGTGCGTCCTTGAAGCCAAGGGCAAGGCCAAGGCAAAGGGCCGCAAGAACGACGGCAAGTCACCCAATCAATCTACGAAGCATAAGCAAGCTGCTGCATCTCTTGGGTCGTGTTTGATCGATGCACACTCTCCCAGTGTGCTGTAGAAACCGTACCTGCACACGATTATTCAGGACCAAAGTTTATCTCTTGTGTGTTATCAATGGCACCATCCTGGTCTACCTTGTGAGTGAAACGTTCACTTCAGATGTGTTCGCGTTGCACATGATAATAATCCTGATATACAGTAGTCAACCGTAGAATGCGTAAGATACCACACCCCCTGAACCGATTTTGAAAGCTCGATTACTCCACGATGAAGATGGTACCAAATCAAATGATACTTGTACATTATGGAAAAGCTCTCGCCGAGCCGATTCCATCGCCGCCATTTTCGGCACCGTCGCTACCATTGTTTTTCGCTGCAGAGTAGTCGAGCTTTGGAATCAGCCCACAGGGATGTGTGGTATCTTGTGCAACCTGTGTAAATATTTTTCCAACAGAGGAGTTCCCGCCGTTGGAGATAGTTTCCAGACAGAAGGTAGAAGGTGCTCAAGTCTTGGCTGTGAAGGTTGAGTGATGCTTGCCGGAGACTGGATGCAAAAACATACTATGTTCTTGCAAGGGCCTTCAAGTGCTCCTCGTTACTCTGCGTTGCTGGACCTAAGATGTTGCTATAATACATTGCTCTTCATGCTAACCCAGGTACCTCCCCCAAGCGTGCCTTCGCACATACACACCAATCGTCTTCTCTCTCACGGCCCTGATGTCATACCTACCTACAGTACCTGGTGGTTTGCTCTGGTTAGGCTGATCCATCCTATGCATATGTACTCGTAAAAGAAACCATGATGCCCAGGTGACATATCGGTACACTGTGTAGAGCCGCTCCGCCGATTCCATGCGATACAACAAGGCCTTTAATTATCTGACCACGTGGCGAGAACATGTTTCGGAGAACAACGGTGGTCAAGCCTTCCCTGTACTGTGGTATTGATACGACCCCCCCCACCCCCCCGCTCGAAATACCCACCCATGGTTTATTGCAGACAGACCGAGGGCGTTCGCGTATTATTTCCTTCTCGACGTCCGAAACCGCCGCGAACATGAATAGCTCCGCCGGTGTTGGAGATCCCTCGCGGTGGCGTCGGGTACCGGCCCTCGCAGGCGTCTCCGTCGTAGCCACGGCCGGCGTTATCCTGGCGTGTCTCTCGGCGCCGACTATTAGTTCAAGACCGAGCGCTACCGTCATGGCTGCCGAGTCGGACATCTCAGGCGCTGCTTTGGGAGAGGAGGACAACGCCGCGCTGGTTGAGGCAGCCCACGAGCTCCGACGGAAGCTGGTTCCGCCGCACCAGAGCTTGTTCCGTGTGGTGTGCATCCTTGTCTACGAGGACTTCTCGGGCAGGCTGCATCGCATCACCGGCGAGTAGCTGTGCTGCTGCTGTATTGTGCCGCTGTAGAGTGCTGCTGTAGAGAGCTGTTGTGTAGTGAGTGTGCTGCTGTATTGTGCTGCTGCGTGCAATGAAAGAACGCGTGCTGCGGCGAGGCGCGGGTGTTCCGACGCACGCCATCAATGCGCGCTCTTGCTCGTGCTGTCTGTCTGTCTGTCTGTCTGTAGTGGTGCCCTCGACGATGTTTGGCACGACCTCTGGTGTCATATGGCAAAATTCCATATAATTGTTGTGGATGCGGACTCCCTTTAGTGTGTGCCGCAGCGCCCTTTCGTGAAGCACGAAGCATGTTCTTGTTCGCTGTTCGCCCATACGGCCTATACCAAGGGGCGCTGTTACCGCACGAGACGTACGTGGTGTTTGTGCGACGGAGCGAAGTTTCGTAGCACCATCTGCTTTGGTGGCATTTGGCCGGCTTGCGACATCGAAGGCCCTGTTCGCGCGATAGTTTTTTCAGATAGACGCGCGCTAGCGTGCGAACTCGTCCGTCCCCCACCGGCAGGGCCAAGTTTCGTCCATGCCGACATTTCCACTTACCAGCCAGTCAGCCAGCCAGCCGCAACATCACCGTCAAAACACCGATGCATGGCACGGCCTACAGGAACGAACGCAGAGGCCAGTACCATCGGGAGTTCCATCTGCGCCGAGCGTGCGGCCATGTGCAAGCTTCGCGAGGAGAGCAACTGCAAACGCGTGACGAAGGTTGTCGTCGTTACGGACCACCAACACCCTTTGGCGCCCGGTACGTAGGTGGAGCGCTGCTGTGACTCCCCTCCCGTCCCATCCTTTGTCGTGTCCCGCGGCTAGCACTCATCTATCGGTGGGATGGGTCTTTCTTTTGCTTGAAGCAGGCAATCCTCTTCAAATCGCGGCCCTGCCGACACTTCATATCACGTGTTGTACACACGGCGGTGGTCAGACTTTGGACAAAACAGCCTTTCGCAACTCACGTTTAGGTGTAAATAGTAGGCCGGCCGCTCGTTTCAAGTCGCGGCCCTAGGGTCGTTCAGGCGGCGCGATACACACAGCGGCGGTCTCCACGTGGGTTTGTGTTTTTTGTGTGTATGTGTCTGCCGAGATTCGAAGTTTTGCATCAGTCTTACCGCCCGCATCGCTTCTTGTGGGCCACCAGGAAAACAATTTCTCAATGTTTGTGTGCCACGCTGACAAGAGAGAGAGAAATAAAATTTCTTGCGTTCCAACCCCTCGCACAGACACCCTCGAACGATTCCGTTTCGTTCTTTTCTGCGTGACGCAAGGCGTGTTGTGCAGGGAGTTCCTCTCTGCCCACCTCTGTCCGTCCACTCCGGTCATCATGTCCGGCTCCGGCGAAGCCATTGTCCCGGGCGGGCTGCTGTACGAGGAGCCAAACCTCAAGCCTTCGCCGGATTCGGCTAAGAATGGCGGGGGTGCTACCGGCTCAGGAGCGCTCGTTGCTGGGGAGGCGGCGGTAGATACCTGCGGCTGCGAGGCAGCACCACCAGCTGGCGACGGGAGACACGCAGGGGCAGCGACACCGGCTGCGGCAAGTCCTTCTCCTTCCTCTTCGTGCGATACACGCATCTTAGCGGCGAGTGCCGGGAAGGGCGAGGGAGAAGGGCGAGTCCAGTCAGGAGGAAACGAGGGAGCTGCGCCTGCGCCGGTGGATGTGTCCACCGTCGGACAACTGTACCCGTGGAAGAACATGTACGGGGTCACGGAGAGAGGAGAGCAGCTTAAGCTTGGCTTCCTGGCGCAGCAGGTGATGCCCGAACCGTTCCGACTGAAGTCGTGGGTTTCGAGTTTCGGTGGTGGCTTCACCTGCAAAGCGCGGAATAGGTACCCCGATGGTTCAGGGTTGCCACCTTTTGGTCTGGCGTCTTTGTCATTGCCTCTAGTACCTTCGGGCTTGCGTCTTTCTCAGGGCATCTGATTTCCAGGGAATGGCATACCATGGTAGGACGGCACCAAAGCAGCTTAATACTGCTGGGATGTGACCCTGGCACATCTTGGAGCTGCGGTAGAAAAAACGAAGGTAAGATAAATGTTATGGCAACGTTGTTCTTGTCTTGGGTCTTGTGTGCATGCTGGACCTTCGAAGACGTGTCACATGCTGTCTTGACCTTTTGTGTGTGTGTGACACGTGGACGTGCTTTCATCAGGTTTTGGGTCGCGTTCGACATCTCCTCCAGGCCCTGAACCCAACACAATCACGCACGGTGGCGGTTTTTCGTCTTTGCTTGCTTTGTTAGGATCCGGCTGGTTGCAACTCTAGCTTATCGCTATCTCAATCTCTTTGCCCTGGTATTCACCGTACGGTTTTTGTGCGCGCCAATGCGGCGTATGTAAAACAGAAAGCGGAAGAGTTGTCGGATCCGAACCTGGCAGAGCGAGTAGGGCTAGAGAGCGGTGTCGTGGAAGCCTACGACGCCGCGTGGAGAGCAACTGCCGGAGACGACAAAGACGATATTCATCCCATAAGGTACAGTACCTCCGTAAATGAGTACGTCGCTGCCTTGCCGTGCGACGTTGTGTGTTGTGTTGTAACATGTTCGTGTTCCACTGCCGAGTTTTTTGTCGCATCATGCCTCTGTGACACATGTCGATTGAGTATGCGGGAACAACCTCACGTTCACCGTCTCGTATGTACACGCGGAGGAATTGTTTTCATGCCCAAGAGAATAGCATTGCGCGACAGGAGAGATCCTTTTTGGGCGTCAATAGTTTCGTTGGCCCTCCCGTTAAGAACGCTCCGCTTAGAACCTAACTGGTTTCACCCGCGTCTACTCTTGCGTGTAGCGATCCAGTTCAACCATGTCCACGGCTGAACAGCTTTTTAGCGAAGTATGTCAAGGGTTTCATCCCTCTAGTTCAACCATGCCCACGGCGGAACTGGTTTTTAGTGATCTGTGTCAAGGCTTTCATCCCTCTACATGTAGTTCAACCATGTCCACGGCTGAACAGCTTTTTGTGAACTGCGTCAAGGCTTTCATCCCTCTATCGTGTCCCGGCGCCTTCCCTCATATTGTAGGTACGCGGCGGTGGCCCTGTTCTCTGATGGGGAAGCTGAGATAACTCACCAGGTGGGTGTGTTCGATCGCTCTTGATCATCGCAAAAGCGTTGAAACTCTGTCGCAAGTGCCCCGCGTCCGGGGGCTGTATGTAGCGATGATAGTCCAGCATGCACTGCCGTTGCCGTCCTCGGTTCCTGTCTTTTACGTTCGAGTCACAGACGTGGTTGTAGGCAATGGCGTGTTCGTGAAAAAAGTTGATTGTACGTGCAGGAGAAATGAGGAGAGTCGTACGCAAGGTGGCAATCGCGCGGCATGGTTTCTGAGAGGTGTGCTTGTCAGCCGAGGCTTGAGAGTACGATACTGTAGTATCAGCGAAGCCGACTTCGTGCGCCCACTCACAACGTTTGAGCGCTGGAAATGGTAGAGAGGAACTTCCTGCTGGTCTTCTTGGGTGAATCATGATTGGTCAATCACCTCTGCCTGGAGAGCGGCGTTATCCACGTCCGCTACCGCATATGTCTCTTGCTTATGTGGCTGTCGTTTCTGCCCCCCCGTCCAGCCTTGGACTCACGAAATCACTTCTTGACGGCGGACCGTTTGTTTTTGCGAACGATCGCTTGTGTTCTCTTCGGCGTGCGATACTTGTACGTACATGTACGTGTTTTCCCTCTGCAGCTGAAGGCCTTCGAGTACGGCGCATCTCTAGACCCGGTGACTCTTCTCGCTCCCGCGATGATGAGGCGTGCCAAGGATGGGATACGGTAAGTAACGTGTACCCAAGTGACTTTTTTCACGTCACGTAGTATCCACGCCATGGCGCCTTGTACGCTTGCTACGCGGGTACGGAGTTCATAGATTGCACAGCCCCATTCCGACAACAGCTGTTGGTTGATTGCGGCCGGCGCTGCTCAAGCAGCGATTGTGCGTTGCCTTGGATTTATCGCCGACGCAGGGCAGAGTCAAATCTCGTGATCGCGGGAAAGTGTACCGCCACCTCCTATCCGATAGGAGTGGCGTGAGGGTTAGGGGCACCAGAAGCCTATGCGAGCCAGCACTTGTGCACTCTGCTACTTTACGCATGTTCTTTCTCGAACAATCCAGAGGCAAGGTCGATCGCACCATCGTCGGGCCAGGTCAACTGCCACCGTAACTATTAATATTTTTTCGCCCACCGCTCTCAGGACTTCTTGGGTGCTTTTGGTTGACCAATTCGGCAACTTGCATGCGCCATTCGCCCAAGCCCGGACGTTTCTTTCTGAGCATGGGTTCGGAGAGACGAAAGTCGCCATCCACGAGGCAGGCGGCGGCGTGGTTGTGATCAAGGCCAAAGGTAAGCGCCTCGCATGCCTTGGCCTTCGTATGCATACAGACACCTCTTGATAAGTTTGACGCGACAAGGAACGAATTAAAGTGCTGGCAAACACTTGCAGTCGCCGGACTGCTGTTGTTGCTTTTCACTGCTGTGCGGCCGAAGCAAGTGCGTTTGCCAACCCGTATGTCACAGAGGGATTAGTTGCACTTTTTTTCTGGCATTCCGCACGACGATCAATCGTGTTTCGAGACCGGAAAGTGTCTCCGGTTGCCCTCCTGATCAAACACCTCCCGCCCCCCCCTCCGCGAACGTTAATCCGAAACACTTGACCGCCTTTTTCTTCTTTCGCTCATCATACCGTGAAAGAGCTGGTACCAGGGGTGACGACAGCGAGATGAGCTTTGGCGAAGAATTTACGTTTTGCTTCTTCTAGTACAATCTAGCGGCGTGACAACACGAAGACGTGTGGCACCGCGCCTTCCGGATCTGTCTGCTGTGTCAATGGCAAATGTGTGTGCGCGTGCGTGTGTTTGTCACTCCTCCAATCGTTCGAGGGAGGGAGGATCTTGCCCAGTGGTTACCTTCGTGTCAGATGAAGTTGTCTGGACACATACCATTTCTGTTCTCAACCGGGCGTTTAGTACCACCCAAGGCCGGAAACCTATCTTGGGCCAGGTAAAACCCGGCTGATTTTGAGTGGGGGAAAGCGTTCAGAGAAGGATCCATATTCGAAGGAACGCGAGAATGATCTACCTGCCTTGGTTCCCCAAGACAAGGTTCTCGATTTCGCGAGTTCAATGTGACCTTTGCCTTAAAGTTAAAACGATAATCAATCCAAAGAGAGGCGTTTTGGGGTGGAGGCCTCGCCATTCAGTGTGGGAAATGGTGATGAGGACTCTGTACCATTATATAAATGACCTAATTTTACTGACGCCACTGCTGGTGCACCTGGACAATCAGACGCTACATTCGAGTAGGTAGGCCGTCTCGGCCGTTTCGATGCCAAGCTACGCTTCTGCCGTTGCTCTGTGGGCCTGTGCCGAAGCCCTCCCTAGCCTCCCCTACTACCACTCTTCCCCACTCGACCTCTTCTTGGTGGAACAATGCCGCCAACCGATCGTTGCCTGCCCCTTGTTCGGATCCCCGCGGTTGTCTACAGCAACGGCGGCAGCGGTACCGTAGACACTATCGCCCCCCAATGAGGACATCGCGGGCATACGAATCATGACCAAGGAGAAATAGAGCTATCTATCGTTTCGCATGTCGGACGAAAGAGCGCAACGGACACGGCGTGTGTTCAACGGGGAGAACCACAACAACACAATGAGTCGGCGCCAGCCGCGTTCCCCATTACTGGCATTCTTCTTACTGCTGCTGTTGTTTGTTGTCTTCAGAAAACAAGCGTGCTCGGCGCCATGTTTCCCCCAAGCTGGAGCTATTCCTGGACACAATCCCATCATGCTCCAGCAACTGGTATTATTATTGATTGAATCGTTGGCGAACTTTGTACATACATGTATAGAAGGGTCGGTACATGGTTGCTGCCTGCGATTGGTCGATTTTCTCGAGACGGTGTGTTGGTTCCAAGAACGCCAAGAAGCGCACTTTCGGTTACAATGGACATCTCCGACAGTATAGTACAACAAGGAGTCGATGGCTGGTCGATCCAACGGAAACAGAAGATCCTCAGAAGATCCACAGAAGGATCTTCCCAAAAGCCACGAGTCATCCATCTTCCTCACCCAAATGTTGTTGTGCTGGATCTTTTTAGCGGGAAACCTCATGCCTTCCCCATTCCTCCGGTTCTGCGCTTTATTTAGCTCCCTCACGTCCTTTCCCCGTATTTGCCACACAACACCACACCACATTATGTATGTAGACGAATCTCTCTTGCACTTGCTGGTACCTGTTAGGTCCAAGCTTGCAGCATCCAAGGATTGCAACGCATGTATGCATACAATAATGTGATTGTGTGTGTGCTGTGGACTGCCATTGCTGTCTGATCGTAGATGGATGAGGACAAGACCGAGCGTGATGACTGAATATGCCCGCAAGACCAGATGCATTTACACATACACATACATACATCACAGCTCATAAAAGCACGTCTGCATCACAACTCCCAGCTCCCAGCCATGCGGTAGGGAGCGGATATGACACAGGGGCTACGTTGGATCCGCCCCCGGTTTCTACCGCCTCCAGAACCTGCTGGTACTCCATTTTTTTTTCTGCAGCTCTCCTTGAGGTCGCGCCCGAGAGTGATGATCAGCCGGCACAGGCACGACAGTGAGCAGGGATATGGGTGCGTGGCCATGGAGAAGACGATGAAGCATGCGAGCAATTCGGAGGAAGGTGGGAGAGTCGATGCAGGTGTGCGTGTGCTATTTGGAAATTTGAATTGCTTTACTGCGTCTGGAAGTTATGGGACTTGTGACGGGTGCCCTTTGTCTCCCTTTTCTCTACACACTGAAACGAACAAGTAGTTTTGCGACTGAACGAATGTTGAGATTCCTTGGAAGCATGTACCATGGTATTGTAGAAAAGACACCTTGGGATACACGTGCTGTGATGAGACCACGTTTGTTCAAATTGTGCTATTTGGTTGCTCATCTGAGTTCGCAAGTTGAAGTATTTTCAACGCAAATGTCTCCTGTCTGATGGACCAAACACCAAGCGTACCCTCTTCTCCGTGACCATTCGCGCAATTAGCTGCTGGAACGGCCGTGTGGCAGCCGTTGGTTTTCCATAGGGTTTTGCCGTCTGCGGAGCCATTGATAGAAAAATCGAAAGTCGAAAAGTAGTAGAAATGCCTGGACGCCCGTTTGTGGGACACCCAACGCCAGAGACGGGTACATACGCATACAAGGGTACATGCCCATAGCAACAGGGGAACCCTGAACGTGTTCACCAAGGCTGCTTCCTTCCTTGAATTTTGGTTTCCAGATCCCAAACAGACAAACAAATCACTCCCCACGGACGCTGCTTGTGCCCTACAGGGCTGCATGCCTGCACCCTATTTTGACACCAACGGCCGGCGCTATAACGGGTGCAGGCGTCTCTGATCTACTGCTGTCACCGTTTCTTGGCATCAACCCGTTACCGGTTTCTGCTCGTCTGGTGCACCATTCGAGCAAATTTTTTTGCCGACGGGCTTTCTTGCAGCATTCCATACGCCACCCCCGGTCAACCATGGCTGGCAGAATTATACCGTCCACTCGGACCCACCAAGATCACTTTCTCTGTGGACCGCAACATCCCCCCGTCCGTAGGGCCAAGGATACGGTACCCAGCGACTCTAACTCTGCCCTGCAAGCACGTGCGCGTCGATGGATCTGGCGAAGCACGGCGGTTCCACGCTGGTGTCTACACGAGTGCCTTCTCTCAACAGTTCAATCCGTGAGACCCAAGCCTTCCGCGCGCCGCCCCTCGCCACCCCCCGTTACCGTCAGCGTCGGCAGACATCAGCGCGTTCGAGCTCCATCTGCAGCAGCTGTACCTCTACTACAAGGCGAGGCGAAGGCGAGGGCAGGGTGAGCCGTCATCTGTGTGACCACGTCCTTTGCCAGCTATGTACAGCAGTCAACCCCCCATGAGGAAGGAAGTTCAGCAGTATTTAGGAGCAACCATCTACTGGTGTATAATAGCCTGTACCGGTAGGACAAAGGTTGCCAGCAAGCCTCATCCCGATTGCGTTATCTCAGAGGAGGGAGGAGTAGGAGGCACACGTCTGCGATCATTCGGTTGGACGGTGGGGCGAAAATAGATGTACAGCAGTACATCACCGCATTTTGCCGCTATTCTATGTTAAGGGGAAGTCGTGAGACGCTGGTGCCGTCGTTGTTGGTGTTACGACTCCGTCCCATGCAGGTGTGGATCTGTAGACCCTGACAGCTTCGACGAAAACACGCGTGTTTCTGGCTGTACCGTACCGTGTCAATGCAGACACCGCCACGGTCCTACTGTACTGTAAAATTTAAGAGCGGGCGGCCCCCTGATAGTACACCAACCGTGGTGTTGGCAGACTGGGGCGATCGTTCGCGTTGCCGCTCGATAAGTTTTCTTTCCAGGAGCTACATGTACATGACGGAAAAAGCTCGCACAATGTGTGTATTTTTGACAAGACCCCAAGTTACGATTTACTAATGCATATGTTGGTCGTCGTTCTTCAAGTTACCGTTCGCTCGGTCCCACCTTGCTGACTGACCAAAATCTTCCCTCACCCCTGACGCTTGCACTCGCTTGTTGCACCGCCCCCTCTCCGAATATGTGCACACATAGCCGTGCTAGTTGTGTCTTCAGCCTGGGCCTGCTACAACGTTAGCGTCTGGGTCAGGGGCTGGATGGAATCGGTGAGATCTTGGCACGGCCAACACTTAACGCGAGTAGTGTGGTCCGGTACGACAACATACGGTTTTGGTGGTACTGAACCGATTGGCTCTACAATCACGATGTTGCTCGAAATTTGAAACGGCATTCTCAGAAAAGGAAGGGATTGTCAAGTGCTTCGGTAGCGATTCAGCGAAGGAGTGGTTTGACGCCAGTTTATAACTCCACTTCCCGCCCAATGGCGTATTTTCTGCTTCCAACGGTTACGTTTGTCTAAGGTGCATCTGTTTCGCCGAGAGAGTTGAGTGGAGAGATAAACCTCAAGCTGCTGTGAGTGTCTGATAGAAGTACGAAACACCGCTCTGTCTCTCTCTCTCGCTCCTGGGACAAGAAGTCACGAAGGGTGACGCGTAGTAGCTGACGCAGCGGGCGGGCATCTTCTCGAAAGAGTAACAAGTGCTAGACGTTCTTTCTCCCACCCCAGGAGGCCCCGTTGAGAGAGAGACACGCCGCCCGCCCCTGGAGAAGAAGTAGAAAGCGACACTCAGGGCGCGGTATCTAATTCGGTTCCTTTCGTGTTCTTTTTCTGGCTGCCGCTTACGTGTTCTCCTTCCCCTGTGTTCGACCAGCCTGTATCTCTTGCTATCGGTGTTTTGGGTGGTCCATTTACAAGTGTTTTCTCGAAAGCAACGTACCGTATCTTACATTTCCCCGTTTACGTAGAAGCAAGCCACGGGGACCCGGGCTGAACGTTTTTCCCGATCCGCCGCCCCCCCCCCGTACAGGGCGGTCACTCGTGGTTTCTGCTGGTGAACACCGTGGGCAGCGTCTTCCTAGTGAGTGCTTGCTTGAAGTCCACTTATCGAGACAGCCAGCTCTACGTGCCGCACAGGTGAGCTGTTCTGCTCGTCCAGGAGCACGTCTGCTATTATGCCACCCGTTACAGCCGCCTTGCGTACAAGAGCATGCTTGATGAGTGCTGGTGCACACCGATTTACTCCGGGACCCGCGGGGACCTCGGGCGTGTTTTTGTGTAGTGTACGGAGAGGTAGTATTTTCCCGAATTCTGTGACTTCTTTGTTTAGCGTGACAGGGTTTCGGCCGGCTATGAAAGTGGAGAAATAATTCATGGTCCCGTTTCCGCTCTTCGCTATCGCAGATGTGTTGTTGCCTTCAGTCCCGGCACGTGTTTCGTCTTCGTCTTGATCCGATCTGTGCTGCTTTAAAATGTCGATGCTTTTGATTTGTTTCAAGTTTCGGAACGCGTTCTGGTTGCGACAACCAGAGTGATTGCTGCATTTGCTACCAATATTGCTTTTCAGTTTCAGGCCCAAATCGACGAGGACATATTGATAAACGTGCTGCACATAGTTTCCCGGAGTCTGTTGTACGTGAGTTCCGCAAAGCGACAACGAAAACATGTTGTGCCCTCATGGCCACCTCCCACCCTTGCCTTGGTGACGGAGACCTTAACCTCTGTCGGGAATTCGGGGCTTTGGTAGATAACGCAAGTTGTTCACGTGAATATGTGCAGGAGCCAGACATCGTTGCTTCCCCCCGTCAGGGTTCAACCGATCTAGTCATCACCGGGCGCCAAATGGTGGCATCATGGAACCGTTGCGGTTCCAAAAGGGCTCATCAGCTGCTAAATGCACAATTGTAATCGTGTGGGGCTCCTCTCTTGACCCTGTTCCAACAACGCATTGTCGTCTGGTTGTCTGCGCCCAACAGGTACGAGGAGAGCTCGAACGGCATTCTAAGTTTGCTGGGGTTGTGCTTCGCCGGAGGAAAGGAGCGCTCGCTCCGAAGGCGGACCGTGCCTCCGCCAACCAAAGCGAGGGGTGGGGGCAGCGGGGACAACAACCGGGATGATTCGGGCAGAGGGAGAAGAAATCGGTGACAAGCGCGTGCGCTGCAGAGCTAGGCGTCCCCCCTCCTTTCCAAGCGCCTGGGCAGCGGCATTCCTTCAACACAGCAGCCCGCCTTGCTTGTGCCTTGTGTTTGTGGGCTTGGGGTTGTTGTGTCGTTCTACGATCATGAGCGGTTCGCGGCTAGTGGCAGAGGGGGCTTCGCTGACACCCACGGAGAGCACGATGAGTTGGACGTTAGTTTGAAACAGCAGCGTCATAGTTCTCGGCGTGTTTGTGTGTGTGCTTTGCAACACGCACTCAGGCGGCAACATAATTCTGAAACTGCTGTGTTTTTTCTTTCTTGTTGGGGCTTAAATCACGGCCGGCGGTCATGGCGCCGTAGGTCGTTGATTGCCGTGCGTGGTAGCTCTGTGCAGCGTTGCACACACCTTGGAGCTGGCTGGTAGTTTTAGTTTTGTTACCAGGATCGGTCCGTGCTGACCAGGACGTTGGCGTTGAATGCATTTGCGAAGAAGCATGCCTGTCTCAATATGTAAAGTGCCGTAATAGTGCGAGCCTTGGCTCACCCTCTAGACCGCGACGGGTCATAGCTCGATTGCTCCCCAAACACACAAAGTCAAACAGAGCTTTCCTAGCACGAATCGAGCGGTTTTCGTACCCTCTTGGTACTGCTGTAGTTGCAATCGGGGTTAAAAAGTCGATCTAGAGGTGTGTGATGACTTGGCAAGGTGGCTGCACTCTTCGATGATGTCGATGTTTGTACTCTGTCGATCAACCTTCTGCGACGACGTGAAGGGGGTTCGTCCAACACATTTAATTATTTGTCAAGCGCCACAGGACGGCGGAGGATAAATAAGCGCGGGGAGGGAGGGAGGAGGGGATATGGCATCAACAAGGGCGGCGGCGGTCTACACACGAAAATCAGGTTCTACCAAGTACAGAACGCGCCCGCACGCAAGAACCCAGGAGTTTAAGAAATTGAGCCGAAAAAACAACTAAACAAAAATTAAGAACTTGAGTACCATGTGTGAGCTCGGTTTACTTTAGAACCCCTTACGCCAACTAAAAAAAACTTAAAGAGCGACCATCCGTAGGATGACCCTAGACCCTCGGAACTAAGAACTCCAGCCTTGGCCGAAACTATAATAGAGGCGGGCGCGTTCTGCATGACACATACCGGTAGCGACCACCACACAATTGGTTCTCTAGAAGTATTATGTACTTGTCGTAGAATATACTGGTATGTTCTTATCTTAGGCGTGTGTGTCCGGTGTGTCCGGTGTCCATGCTTCCGAAACCCATTGCGACAGTCAAGGAGAGCCACCGATGTATGTTCATATCGTTTAGGGGGACAATACTTCGCTGCGACTGGAGAAGATATGTCATGCAAGGATGCAACAACAGCAACGAGCACCAGGTGAGCAGTGTAAGTATTGGTAGTCTACAGCAGGTCACCTATCTATACGTTTGGTAAGCAAAACGACAACAAACAAGTCCAGTCTATCTAGTCCTGTTTAGCCCGAACCTGTCAGGTACGGAATGCGTTTATGTGAATGCATGCAGCAACGCCCGTGTTTAGATTCCCTTTTGGTGCTCAGCAAGCTCGCACACTACAAAAAAAAATGTATTATAGTCTAAATCTTAATCTTTCTCTTTGAGCCTCAAACGGCCGAACCCTGCTCAGACGCATGATGATCTATCTGTGGAGATAATATAGATACGGCGGTTCGACTTCGCGGTTGTCACGGAGTACAGAGCACTCCGGGGCCCGCGTGCGTGTCGTGTCGTCTAGATTACATACGTAGATATACAGATACCTCACGGTTGCGGATGGGATGGATTGTACATACATACGTACATCTGCCACGAGGTAGACACACTGCATACTACACATGTGATACGAAAGATCCAAACTCTCAACAACATATACAATATATTGAGGCTGTGGAAGGCCCTAAATAACGCCGGTACGTGCCTGGCGCATCGTTCGGCGCTATTCCGAGGGACCGGCGGCAATGCACAGAATGAAGTGGTGGTTCGATCTGTGCCCAGCAATTTCACCGGCGCTATATAGGGCCACCGGTGCTAATCCATTTGATGAGACCCCACCCACTGCCACCTGCCACTGCTGTTGTACCGACTCTCCTGCCTGTCTCCGTAGCTACCGAGAGGCGCGAGGCGGGGTAGAGAACGGATTCCTGATGTCGTGCCCCCCCTCGGCAAAAAAAAAAAATGGAAAATGAACCCATTCATCATCCCAGCAGTGCAGCAGTCGATTGTCGATCGATTGGGTACACACACCTTGGACACGACGCCACGCATCGGATCCCGGCATCCGGAGGGTTTGTGGAGACACGCGAGCACAAGGGAGACAAGTCGCGCACGACGGTGTGGGGGGCTTTTTTGCGGCGCCAACGCGCTCAGGTAGGCCGGAGGGGGGGTTGGCGTGGTTAGTGTTCTGATCTTAGCGGCACGAGATTGTGTAATGCCGGATTATCATCAGACTGAACCAAACCAAGACAGCAGGCAGACGATGGCAAGCGTGTAGTATTGCCTTTAGCCCTTCCGACCGGGCAGGAAGCGCGCCGCGAGCTCGAGATCGGATCAGACGGATCTCGGAGGGAAAGAACGAGCTCTACTCCCGGCCCGTCCCCGAGAGGGTATTTGCCCCCCGGTGTTGCGTGTGGGTCAAAGGTCGCAGCAGCGGACATGAGCTTCGATCGAACGGTGCTATTGTTTCATTTTTCAAAAGCAGTTGTGGAGGAAGAAAAAGCTCTGTACATTGATTGTACAGCCCCACAACTCTTCTATCTGGAATACACAACCCTTTCTTCCCTCCGAAGTAAAGCCTGTCCAGTGCCCAGACCGACCGCACATGATATTAGTTTGCCCCGTGTTCCCTGGTACACGGAAAGGGACGGGTGCAAACGCTCTCCCATGACTCTGCTGTCTGCTTGGCTGCCTCGACGTGACCGGAGTCAAAAAGCCAAAGCCACACACACACAATTGACGGAGTGACAAAAGAGTTGATTAATGCTACTTCCCCAACATGAAAAATTCCGCGTTTGTTGTTTTTTGGACGGATGTTTTTTTTTCGTCTCTTTGGTGACGAGTCATGATGCCCTCCCTCATGCGCTGCCTGCTGCGTGCTGTGTTCTCTGTATGATAGCCCTCGATCTTTGCGTATTCAGCCAACAGCAGCAGCTCTCGCAACGGCTCGTATGCTACTGCTCTTCTTACTTTGCACCACGTTTGGCCGGCATTGCACGGACCGACCGCATCGTTATTTCTTGCCGCTTTGTTGTTGCGCGCGGTATCAGCGTAGTTTTGCGCAGTATTTACCTGGTATTGTTTTGTAGGCAGAATAACGTGGTTCACTTTTCGGCCTTGTTTGTGTCCTGTTCTAACGTGTTCGCGACATACATAGCTGCGTCATCGAGGCCTCTTGGTTTGCCCAATCACCAATCACAGAGCCGGATGGCTGCGCGTGTGTGCGGATGCATCAACGTGCTCCTGACGGCGCACCTTCCCTCTCTCTCTATGTCCCCGCTGGCATCGATCACAAACCACCCTCCGCCATCTCACCTTTCTGCCTATTGTGCAGCGCTCTACAATACAAAGTACTGGTATGTCCTGTTGATTTGTAGGAGGGGGAGAACCGCGATTGATTAAAAAATACTGCAATAAACGTGCGTCCGTTTCTCTCCCGCTCCGCACAGCAGTAGCGCGGCAGGGTGCACATTTGTGGCGTGTAGTATGCACCTAGGTGGACTGAGTGCTGCTGTGACAACGACGAGAAACACGGCAGAAAAAGTACCTGACACAGCGTACAGCAGGAAGCACTCAACTCGTGCTTAATGATTTCTCACAAGGTTGAAAAATCAACGTTCGGTCCAACCCTTGTCTCCAAAACCCAAGCATGGGTGTGACGCGAGCGAGCACCGTGTGCAGAGAGCTAGCTATGCATACAAAGAGAGGCAATATCGAACATCGGGGTTTTGAGTGCATCCATCGGCATCCATCAGCATCCATCACCGGCACAATACTCAGATGTGGGAGCACAGCAACACCAGCATACAAACACCAGGCAGGCAACTCGGTTCAATTCGAGACATGAGCCAGCCAACAGCCAACAGCAGCATTAGTGCCGCTTCTCCCAAGTCCCTCTTTACACACATGTGCTGCTGACTGCTCTACCTCCTTTGTGCTCGCTCGTGTGCTGGTGCTCTACTGTACCTCATTTCGTCTCCGCAGGCGGAGAACCCAGCAATCTTGGTTGTGAAACGTACCAGTAAAACCCTCTCTACCAGTCAGTCAGTCCTGCCTTGCTGCTGCTGTATCGGGCGCGCAAGAGGGAGGGAGCGTCGGCTAAAGAGCGGACTAGACTAAATAGTAGCGGGTGCGCCGCGGCGCTTCTTGTGCAGGATTGAAGGGATGATGGAAGATCCCGGGGGTGCCATGCATGACAACAACGACAACGCCACTGGTGGGGGGGCGACGACAAAGTCGGTGAGTTATTTAGTTGGCCGGGGTGAAGAAATGGAAACCAAGACCGCCGCTGCGCCAGAGTTTGTATGAGCGTATGTTAGAATGAGGTTTGGGTCATTTGATTTGATTTTTCCCGACGGGTGGGCTGGCGGTCAAAGTGGTGTGTTGAATGATGCGTTCATCGTCACGAAGGGAATGTACTCCGTGCTTGGCATACATATCGGCTGCTACTCAGTGTGTGATGGAGTACATACACTCTGGTGTGAAGACTCGTATTGTAAGTGTTGCGATATGTTGAGTACGAAGCGGTATGCATGTGTGAAACGGGATGCCTTAGGTCGACTCATGCATTTACATTCAAGTCTGACGAACTTCTGCTGCAGCATATACCGTTGGTGTTCTTGTGGAAGAGAAGGATTTGCTGACAAGTCGAAAAAAAGAAACTGAAAATCCATCTTCTCCGGATCGGCTCGGGTTGACGTTTGACCGCTGGCATGGTGGTGGGTAGGCTGAGCCTCACGTCACCGACCGTCAAATCAACCGTCCGCCGTTAGAGCGAATACTATTGCCTACCGCAGTAGTATACACTAGCTGGGGTTGTGTGCTGGTTCCCACAGGAAAAGGACAGGAGGTTCTGGGTTTGCCAGCAGCAGTAGCAGCAGCAGCAAGCACACAAAAAATACGAGAGTGCTGCTCCCGAAATGTTTCGCTTCTTTCCACATGCATGTGCACCCATGTATGTACAAGAACGATTTGTTGTTTGGCATATGTTATTCTTGCACCGGGAGGAGGGCAGAGCGTGGTTCTCTTCAACCTTCAACCTTCAACCCTCGAAATCTTGTGTACTTCGGAAGCATTGTTTTTGTCATTGGCCCGGGCCGACCTCGGGGTGAGAATCTTATATCTTTTTTAAGAAACCTTTCTTGTGATCGATCGTGTGTGCATATCATACATACAGAAGATGCATGTACATAGATTAACATGTAGATTTCTAATACTGCTGTAGGAGGAAGTTGCATGCTCTAACATCTCGTTTGCTGCTGGAGCAATCAGGAAGAAATCAACATAGAGTATACGTGAGGCATCACAACGAGTCGTCCGCCCCCTTGAGGCCTCCCTCTCTCATGAAAAAGAAAAATAGGCCTGGACCGAGCTGCGTTGTATGTAGATGATGCAGTAATTCTTCCAGGGATAAAGAGTAGCGCATGATAAGGAGGAACGGCAGCAGCCCCATTAAACTTGGAAGGAAGTAGTCTACAGTAGATGTGCACGCACTTCATCCCGAAACGATTCCCACGCTTGCATGCTGTTCCCGTTTACGCTCGGGTTTTCATGATGGAGGGAGGGAGAGAGTTATTTTAGTTGATGATCGCATCCTCGACATCGTGCATCAGTGCCTAGGGTTAAGGACACTATCAAATACAAGTAAAAATGTGCATGCCCGCGTTGAAAAGGGCAGGCAGGCTTGCCGATACAGAGTCGTGGTCCCGGTTTGGCGGCCTATACTTTTAGTGTCACAAAATGTTGTTAAAGTACCACTATTGAGGGCATCGCCGCTAAACTGGGTTGGCAGTTTTGTGGTACAAGTAGTACAGTACAGATGGCGCCCGTACTCAAGAACCTCTATTAATAGTTTCGGCCGAGGCTGGGGTTCTTACAGTACAGTACAAGTACAGTCAGCAGTAGCTCCTCTTGTGGGCTACAAATGGCCGCTATTTAAATTGTGGTGTAAGGGGTTCTTAACAGGGCTCACAAATGGTGCTCAAGTTCGTATGCGTAGCTTCTGATTTATTCGAGTCTTAATTTCCTAGCTGCGAAGTTCCTGAGTGCGGGGGCTATGTGTAGTGTGACTACCGAGGTGCAACCGTGCCACGAGATTGCGGAACCGCTACCTATTCAGGGCATGCCGCTAAACAGAGAAGCAACCGCTAACACCGGGACTACGACTGTGTGAGCAGCACGGCGTATATGGTGGTTCCGGTTCAATGCCGGCACGGCACGGTACGGTACGGTTGGTGCCAGCCCCTTGAACCGGTATTGTAACGGGCAACCGACATCATTCAGAGTATGGTATGAACCAGCTTGAATATTCCATCTGTGCCAGACGATTTCACCGGCACTATTTAGGGCAACCGGCATTATAGCGGGACCACTATAGTAATGAAGTACACTGCTGCTTGCCGTAGTAGTTCAGACACGGCCGGTTGGTAAAGATAGTTGCTGTTCTCTTTTTGCCATGTACCGAAGAAGTAGAAGACAAACGGATGAAGGGCAGAAAACAGGAGACATGTTGACGATATACTCTCAGGCGTGATGCCGCATTTGGATTAAGAAAATCCACCTAGTACATGTATCATCTACCCGCGGGAATAAGTCATTCGAAGGGGCCAACACGCGTTGCTCGCCCTGCTAGCATATGTATTGTTTTAGATTTATACTATGCCATCAATATCACTATATAGTAGTATCATTCACCCACCCCCACGCGTTTGCCTTCCTCACCCAGCTTGACCCAACCCTCCCCCTCCGGACACATGGTGGTATATATATCGGATCGGTCGCTGTACGGGGGACCTCCCTCCCCTATCGGCAGCCTGCCGCCGGAGGAGCAGCGCAACCTACCCTGCAGCAACAAGAGCAGCGGTTCGGCAAGCGCGGGTCCGGACAGGCGTTCGCCCTCGGGCTTTTCCAGATCCTCAAGACGGAGGATCCGAAGGTCATCGGGTGGTCCGCGTCCGGAAAGGCGTTTCGCATCGGGGACTCGGAGAAGTTCTGCAAGGAGATCATGCCGAGGTTTTTCAAACGTGAGAAAATAGGCGCTGTCTGTGTGTACTGTACCGCTGAACCAGCAAGACCAAAATATCGGGAGGGTATGCCTAGTAGACTATTCAAACCCGATCTTAAGCACTGGCCTGTCCGCATGTTCTCTACTGAACTTACCGCTGAACCGCAGAACCATTCCAACCAGAATATGAGGAGATTTCGGCTATTGTAGGCTTTTCAACCCCGAGATCAGCGCTGTCTACATGTACTGTACCGCAAGCACATGAGAAATGCCTTGCCCCTCGGTGCGGCATTTGGTTGTCTTGGAGGGGATGAACCTCTTGGTTTCGGTTGATTGTCTAGACGTCATCTGTGTCCTGGCGTCTGTCTTGTGGTCTTGTGGTATGTCACTGCTACTGCTGAAGGAGGACAGAACGCTTACAAGAACGATGCATACCATGCGTGCATTCCAGGGTGTTTTCTAGATGGGTTGTCCAGAGGATAGGTAGAAGTTTAGGTTTAGGTCTTGCGCGCGAGGACAAGATGAGGGGTAGTCATGTTTGAGCCCAGCCCCGGAAGGGAGGGGTTCCGTATGGCACGACTGCAACAACGTAACGACTAAACTCCACCCTATCCCCTTCAACTGCTGTGGTTCTACATATGTGCAGTCTATCTCGAACGGTTAGTCTTTCTTTCAGTGACTGTATGTATTTTGTCTATACACAAAGCTTTAGATTAGAGAAGCCTTAGACCGGGGTACAGCAGTAGTCACTTCCGTTTCTCGACTCCGAGACCAAACGAGTCGCTCTCCCCGTATATCTGACATGCAACACACTACTGTACCGAACCTCCTTGCTGCCCGGCCGTGGTGCATCCATCGTCCTTGGTCGACTCGACTCGACCGATCGCCCTCTTGCAGAGAACAAGTACTCGAGCTTCCAACGGCAGCTGAACCTGTACGGGTTTCGTAAGCTGGTGAGGGGAAACGAGGCGGGAGGATACATGCACCCCCTTTTCGAGAGGGGCAAGCCGGAGCAGCTGAGCCAGGTCCGCAGAGGCTTCTTTCCAGAGGTGAGTTTCCACGAAGGGATGGTGGAATTAAGAAATGAAGGAAAAGCCGCTGAATAGCTGTGAGCGTGTGTCTTGTTATGTAGGTTGCGAAGGCGTGCACGGCTGAAGGTGAGGTGGCTTTGAGCGTCAAGACGTTTGTGTGTGTCTTGTTAGAGTGCGGAGGTGCCTCTATAGTAGGAGGCCTTTCCTCAGCTACGGAGAGACATAAGATTTGAGCCTCGCTCAATAAGACCATAGGTGTTTATTACGACAGCTGAAAGATAGGCAGCTTTGCATTGCAAGCCTGAAGACATGTGTGTTTGTGTAGTGTCTTGTTTGAGTGTGATGGCAAATATAAGCGAGGCAACTCTGTGCCTCAAGACTTCCGTGGGTGTTGGTGTATCATTTTCGAACGTGCTCACCCGTGCACACGTGCGTGCAGTTGTGTATACACGTACAGCAGTAGCACCGCCGTGTGTTGCCACCCCCGGCGTGGCGTGATTAGCTACGAAGGCAAGTCCGGTTGGTTGATTTTTTGATGAGCACTTCAACACGGCCTTTTTTCTACAAGCTCCTTTTACCTCAAACGCGGGGTGTAAGTTGGTGTGCTACTGCCGTGTATCCGAGCGCAGAACATGCTGTCCATCCATGGCTATTTTCAACCTTGCCGTCACGTGTCCACTTCCACACTCGGAGAGAATAGACCTCCCTCCTCCCCGTGCTGCGGGCAAGACGCATCCCCACCCTGACCTCTGACTCGATTCACCCACTCCACCCCCCCTCTCGACCGCGTTGGCGTAATTCTGATCGTTCGTATACGTGCCTACAGATCCCTCCCGAGTTCGCGCACGACGTGCACGGGCACGGCCTCAACGATGGGGTGGGTGGCGGGGTCGGAGACGGCGGCAACGTGCCGAAAGCAGGGGCACGAGGCGGTCGCAAGTCCACCGACTCGAACAGGTCCAGCGTTGGCAGCAGCTCCAAGCAAGTCAACGCCAGCGGCGGCGGCGGCAACAGGGGACACGAGCGCTCGTCGAGCCTCGGGCAGTCGGGAATGGCGCCTGCGGCTGCGGCCGCCGCAGCCGCCGTTACCGCTGCCGCCACCGCCGCCGCTGGCGGGCGCGGGGGCGGGCACATCCGGACCGAGAGCGGGTCGGCCCTGATGGGCCGGAGGGAGGACTGCATGGCCGTCGAGAAGGGGGTGTGGGATGCGGGGGGGCACGGGCACGGGCGCCTGCCTTCCCTCGACTTGGTGACGGGGGGGCTCAGGAATTTGCACGGCAGTGGCGGCGGCGGGAGGAATGGGAATGGCGGGGGGCAGGGAGTCGGGACGGAGGTGGGTGGGATGAGAGGGAGACAAGCCCAGCCGCCGTTTTTGGTCTCTGTTGCGACTCCGGGGCCTGTAGAAGGGGTGCTTGCTTCGTGTTGACAACCGTTTGTTTGTGGCGTTTATAACCAGGCAGGCAGGCAGGCAGGCTAGCGTGGCGCTGAGAATGTGTATTTTTGCTGCAGGCATCATCACATCACCCTTGTGTGTTTCGGTCGCGGAGAAAGCATTTATGGATCGACTGGACATTTTCAAAGGCAGTCAGTCCAATAGTTCATGTATGTTTTTTTATCTCCGTCCCGTAGACTACATTGTTATTTCGTGTCTTATCCACTCTCCCCCGCGCTAGCGCTCGCATGACCCTGTCTGGCTGCACCTGATTCGATGGGATCATTTCTTTTTCCCAACCCTACCGTATGCATACCGTACCGTACGTGGAAAATCCAGATGCCGCCGACGTTGGGGCGACTGGTACCTTCCGCCGAGAACGTGGTATCCCGCGAGTCTTCCCCGATGAAGCCCGGTGCGGGAGGCGGCGGCGGAAACAGGATGCACGCGGGCTCGTCCGACTACCAGCACACCGGCAACCGACTAGACGGGGGGGGACACCACCCGACCTACGGCCGCAGCCAGGATGACCTTAACCTTACTCCTCGCTCACACTTCGCCGGGCCCATCATGGGGCTGGGCCTGCACCAGGGGGTAGCGGGGAACTGGGCGGCCGGCGGCGTCCACGGCGGCGGGCCCGGCGGGGGCGGGGGCGGGGGCGGGGGCTACGCGAACTCGCTCACCCCTAACCAAGAGTTCTTCGGTAGCAACGGCAGCCGGAACAGCAACCCGTACCAGGGGAGCAGCCCCCGGGTGCTGCAGAACATGCACTCGAGGGACGACCTCGACGTGCTACGACCCCGCAAGACTCGCCGCACGGGACCGTCGTTCGACCAGGAGAGCCACGCCAACAACCAAGACCCGTCGCAGGCGTTTCTCGCCATGAGCCCCCGCGCGGCCGGGACCGGCGGCGACGGAGGGGGAGGCTTTATAGAAGAGCGCGGTGGGTACCTCAACACGTCGGCGGTTTACGCCTCGCCGGACGAGTTGCCGCCGGCCGCGCCGCGCAGGCTGGTGTCTCGGCACAACACGCCGTCTCGGCCGGAGCGGTCGAGCGCTTCGAAGAATAAGGGGGGCGGCGATGGAGACGACGCCGGGAAGCGGGGAGGGCAGCAGCAGCACCTCATGAGCCTCGAGCCCAGCTCCATGGACACGGATGGCACGGCCGGCGGCGGTGGCGGCGGCGGCGCGGCTCTCACCAGCCAGGGCTTCCAG